CAATTATTGACATTATGATAATATATTTAATAGATAAACAGAGCTAAGACTACATTTCATGTAATGATAAAAATATTGATAACTTAATAAAAGCATTGAATGTTTAAGCTAGAGAAATAGTAATAGAGAAGAGTAGTTGTTATCAAACACTATAGACCAAAATACAAGCAACATGTATACTTATCTCCCAATTAAGATCACTAACGTATCTTATCATTTCGCTATGTTAGCTAACTTTTAAGCAATTTCCATAATGTTTTCAAATGAAACAAACATCATTGATCTCTATGTATAGAAATGCGTGACTGCCTTAAAGGAAGTTGCTGCACTTTAGTTAAGAGGATTTCTGTTGCAAAGGTATCCTCACGTAACAACAAACACCTTGAAAGAAATCGGAGAAAAGCCCCGGGTACAACGACCCTGCTGGTAACCCTCTCTGGTTCATTCTATTTTCAGATTAGCATAACAAGCAGCTAATATGACACGACTTAATTATGCTGTCGCAATTTAAAGAATTACCATACCGTAGAGGATTTAAGCTAATATATGTGCAAATAGAAGTGTTATCGATCGCGATTAACCGTGAAAGGTTTATCCTAATTAATCCCACGTCCGTCGATCATCTTCTAACGAATCATCTTCCTTTGATCCCAACGAAAGGATTCCTCTTAATGATCTACGTTTATTTTGACGATTAAAATTTATGTAATAATTTTTCCGTGTATTTATCGAATTTGCGTAATTTTCGATACGTAATTATTGGTTCCAACAGATTAACTACTGTGCCAAGTGAAACAAGAAACACGCGACATTTACGGTATATTTCAAAATGTTTATATGTACATGCCACTATTGATAAAATCGGTTTAAATCGACGATTCAATTAGCGTGCAAATTTGTTCAAACATTTCCGAGAATAGACGGGATCGTGATTGCCCCCTCAACAAGATAAGTCTCTCGGCGTAGCAAAAGAGCTTGTTTAATCTGACGCAAACGCGGCGGACTTTTCTGATTAAAGGCGATTTGCAACAAACGTTCCTGCTAATTCCGTTGAACATTGTTCGGGACAGGCTTTTATTCTCCTTTTCCTCTCCACCAGTCGCTCAAATAAATGCATTGGAATCCTTTGAATCAGCACGTCTGCGCTTCTCGTTACCGACAATACGAAAAAAATGGAAGGGAAAAGGAGATGAAACGTATCCTATTATAATTCGTGGGCCACGAATGTAGGCTAATGATGCAAAACGCGGAGAAGAACGCGAGACACGTGTGTTCTAACACGAAATAAACGATTCGGTGTCTAAACACATAGCTGAGATCCTTTTGACTTGCGAGTTTTTCGACCGATTCGTTCAAACTCGAGGGAAGTTTTGTAACAGGCGGGAATGAAATGAAATGAGTGTCAGATAGGACAAAAGAAGTAACGCATTTTCTGAACGATGTCGCGAAGAAAGGGCCGCGAAGCCCGTATTTACTCTTTCGCGAGTCTCGAAAGAGAATCCATTTGCGATTTCACCAGCTCCTCCTCTTTCCTCCACTGTCCCATGAAGTTTGAGTCCCATTCTTTTTGCACGTCCCTTCTT